CTGTACTGCTGTGTCCGTCTCTGCCTTGCAATCCTTTACATTTATCTTCCAGCTCTGGACGTCGCAAGCTCTAGTTTCGATTTTGAAAAACACAAACTGTTTGGGGTCTACGGTGGTGTAATTTTTTTTATGGCTGCTTTGGCTTGCAGGCATGGTTTTCTTGATGCAGAGATGCCCAAATCCACTCAAATCTTTCAGGAAACACGGCACACGTGGACCTGAAATTGCCTTTCCCCTCCGGCTTTCCCTTGGTATCCGCGGTTCAGCAGCATCCCATGTCGAAGTTTGCCCTTTTTTCGGGGTTGACAAAAAGTGTGAAGCGGATCCATGGATCAACACTGTTTGTGCCGCCTGACCTGATCTCAGTGTGAGAAAATGAGACAAAAGGGTCACTCTTTCTGTCACCTCGACCCGACTTCAGCTTTGTCAAAACATCCAGACCGGAACCTTGAGCGACTAGGAGCGATCGGACGCTACGAACGGGGCTCCTGGCATTGCTAGTAACAAGAAGCTACGAACGGGGCTCCTGGCCTGGCCCTACTACTAACATCCAGACCGGAACCTTGAGCCCCAAGCATCGGTGCAGCCTTTCCTGCAGCCTGGAGGAACAATCTCGTCGCCTATGGTGTCTTTGTCGAGCACATCGTTGCCAGGTCGCCCAGGGACGGATGAATCAACAACTGATGCGAAGGAACAGCGAAGGAACGTCGCAGAAGAAGCCGCCGCATGAGCAAAAGAGATGAAAGACATGAAAGTGTCTTTCACAGAAAAACCGTATACGGATCAATCAGACACACAGTAGGCTAACTATCAGTATATAGGTGCTCCATTTTCTTCCATATCGACCTCGTCTTCCTTTCCCCCAACATGGGCGTCGGACCGGACCTGGTGGCTGCCCCAAGGACGGCCACATGTTGTTGTGGAATGGCGAGGCGGGTCAGCCAGGGACGCCCAGGGAACGGGCCGAGAAGGTGTGTTCTGCGGGTGGATTTGCCGGGCGGTGTGTGATTTCAGGAGCGGATTTCAGGCCGCAGCCTGCTGCAGCCTGGTGCTTTTAGCATTTAACCTTCAGCTTTTTGGAGATCCTGGGTATGCCTAACTGCTATTAACTGCTCACATCTCCTTCTTGTATTTAGTGACATGTGATTATGGTGACATCACGGTGAGTCCTGTGATTCACGGTGATTCGTTTGGGTGGTGGGCGTGTTTCGACCCAAACAGACGGCACAGGCGGTTCAGTGAGGTCTGGGCTTTCAGAGTCGCCTTCGATCCTTTGCACCCAAAGACCCCTGGGTCCTTTGCACCAACCAACGGTCGAAAAGACCGCCTTTCGTTGGCAGAGAGGTTTTCCAAAACAGTCTGTCAACCCACGGAAGACACCGAATCCGACTCTTGAAGTGTCATTCGCTCCTTTGTTTCACTGAAGCATGAGACGTACCATATCCTGGCCATAAATTCTCCAGCACATGCACTGCACGAATCTCCAGCGGATTGATTCTGTTGTAGGCATATCATTGAACAGACTTATATACTGCACACTCAATAGCTTGAGGCTCTATTTCTTCCAAGCTGAGCTTCCTTATCATTCCGAGAAGACCCTTCCGCCGGGAAGCCAAGAGTGAGTATGATTTGAGGCAAAGGTAGATGATGACCGCATTTGTTTTGGTTTAAAGCTCCTTCGGCCACTCCGGTGAATGCAAGACAGTACAACCAACAGCGGCCGACACCGACAATGGTGACCACTCTGGCAGACTCTGGCCGATCCAACGTATTGACGGTGGCGGGGAGAAAGGCACGCATCTACAGTACATGAAACCTCGGCAGACGGAAGCAGGTTGCCTCCCAGCGTGTCCGCGTGCCCCGTACAACAGTATCAATAACATCAACATGTATCAACCATGCAATCTTTTCGTTGGCCGGGAGTGGCAAGGACTATAGAAAATATCTTTACAAAACAAGGGTCCAAGGGTTGAAGGAATTGGAGGGAAACCGGTCAAGCTTGATGTACCTAGCACCAGGCTGGGACTCCCTTCCACTTCCACCCATTGGCCCATTGACCCTCCATTCGATTGTGTGTTTTTCGCATCAAAAGAGTCTTAGTCTTGATGAGAAACATCATTGTTCTGCTTTCGTGTGCACATGTGTATCCTCAAGTTGAGAACTCTGAAACAGAAACAACACACTGCAAGTTCTCCTTTTTGCACACAAAGAAGATTCGACGTCGTGGTGCCCAGTCTGGTCTTCGGGTCATCTCGTTCCACCGCGTGGGCCGGTCTTCGACCCCGTCGCGGCAGGGAGAGATACGCCGCCTACGTGGTGGCCCAGCCGCGACCTCGACCCGACCCGAACAGGGGCGGTCAGCGGTGGACGAAGTTCGGTGGGACACGTCGACCGTTCGGAGACACCGCTTCTTCTGTTTGTTTTGGGAGAGGGAGGCGAAGCCTTCAAAAGTAGAACCGGGCGGCTTGCGGTTTTCGCGCGCGCGCCGCGCACCCGCGGGTGGCCGCGCGTGTGGGGGAAACCCCGAGGACTGTTTACAGCCACTTCGCGGTGGGCTTGGGTGCCTACATCATTGATCGGGAGCCGGTGGCCCGGCCGATCTGGCGAGACCGGACGCGGATGTCGCGGAGCTGTCGCGGGACGCGGGACGCGGGACGCGGGGGTCGGAGGGGTCGATGGGGTCGATCCGACATGGTTTCCGCTGATGCATGCGTGCTCAGCCAGCCTGCTTGAGGATCCAGCCAGTGAAAGTCACCAATGCTAGTCAGTCTATGAAGCACAAGTGAGAGAGGGCTTGGTGAAGTCTGAGCCCTTAAACTCTGTGTTTGCTCCAGATTCAACGATGCCAAATGCCAAAGCGGATCGCTTGAAGTTCTTTTCTTCTCGTGAAAAAGACGTTCTGAAGGTAGGGCATTCGAATGATGGAGTTATTCATGTTAGTTGTGTCTATAGGTTCCTGATGAGCAAAGCCTTTGATGGGAAAACATAGAGCCCTTCAACAGGCGTCCTTTTTTAGGCGACATGGCGACAGGTTGAGACATGCATTGATTCAGGCTGCATCCAATGGTCTTTGATTCAAAGGATATCAAACCATCAAACCCAATGCGGTAATAACGATGGAATCACCACGAGCGTTTGGACGACCAAGTTCTTTGGCTGAAACCTTGACCGATGTGGTGGGTGTCGAAACTGGAGAGCGAGCTCTGAACCTTCCCCCTTCACTGGAGAGCTCCCGTTGTGTGGTTAAAACGATGTTGAATCGATGGGAGAGCCAGGGTTCCTTTGGCTCAGAGCTAGGGTTCCTTCAGCTAAAGGGAGTCAGTAAGGGAGTCACATGAAGGGTTCCGTCGAACAGCGTCACACGATCCCTGATGAAGAAACTCCTTTTTCACGCATATTCTGCTCTAGACTCTAGGACATTTGAAGGATGACTGATCCGCATAAGTACGTCAGCAAATAATGATTACATTCAAACATTTACAGTAGTAGACATGGGGAGTCTTTTCTGAGCCATCTCTGGTTCATTCATAAATCTCACCGTAAATTCAGTTCAAGGACACCCTGCCAATACATCTCCAGTCCTTGACGCAAAGCACGGGCCCATTCGGCCCGTCTCCCCCGCTCGCTCGCTCGCGCCCACGGCCTTCCAGGCCTATGCTGGCTTCCAGGTCTCTCCTTACGCGGATCTGCGGAACGCCCGGGCATGCCCAGAGGGGGCGGTGATGGAGGGTGGGTGAACGTCTCTAAACTTACCCTGCCTGGAATCATCACATGAAGAAGTGGAGTTCACCACCTGTTTCTCCGAAAAACGGCCTTCCGAACCGGGGGGGCCATCCACTTCGATCCCAGCAAGTGTCAACGGAACACCTGAGGTTCACCGGACCACCTGGGGTGTCTCCAAAAACAAAGGCCTTCCTCGATGAGGTTCGGAGGTCACGAAGACCCCTACGTGAGCAGAACAGCTCGCTGTGTAGTGAGCAGAACGGCAGCCACCCTGCAACACGGAGGGCCCTTGGATGAGCTTCAACTGTGAAGTCACTGGCTCTTTTTCCGCCTCGAGATTGAATGGCAGAGACTGAAGAGAGTCTGCGAGTCACCCTGGATCATCATGGATCATCATGGATCACAAATTTGAAGAATGATGGATGCTTCTTCGATTCTCCCGTTTTCTTCCTTTGACCGTTCACCGACCTCGCCTTCACCACCGCGCCCGACACCTCCTCGTCCGCGAGCAGCGCAGCGGAGTCGTCGAGGTGGTCACGGTGATCATCGATGCCCCCGAGGACACCATGAAGCACCAGGCGCCCACTGGGCACGCCCGGTGTTCCGCCCGGGCCACCGGAAGGGCGGACTCGGGTGGACGAAGGGTTGGGCAGTGAAGGAGTTGTATCGAGCGCCGAACGAAGACTAAGACGCGTTTCGGTCTGTCGTCCTAGATACAGGATGATACAGGGCAGGGCAAGTGGTTGGTTGATAGCGCGGGTGATGCTTTTCCAGTAGTAGACACTGCTGGTTGGGCATCGCTTGGGCGTCTTCCAGCGGTGGAGAGCGCAAGTTCTTTACCACCGAAAAGCTTTGGCGGTGCAAGTTCCCCCAACCTTTTGGAGCATGGACAAAGGATGACAAAGACACAAAGACCTTCGCGGTCTACTTGAAGTGGGAATGGAGAAGACACCATCGCGTGACCTTTCGCGCGAGATGGATTCTGACGGATTCTGACCGACCTGACTTGGCCAATGACTTCTGTAAGCGTTCAGCGGACGTCCCTAGGGGTCGGATACGACCCCCTCCGACCCCCGGTGAGCGGAGCGAGTCGCGTGGAGCGAGCGTTCGCTCGCGCGAGGTCTGCCAAGAGTCTGAGGAGGGACAGAAGTGCTTCGCGCCCCTCGGAGCTGCCGGTGTTCATCCGGATCTTGGGGGGGGCGATGAAGGTGAGACATCCGGGCGCTTCAAACCAGACATTTTTATAATTTTTATATAACAATATTAGGTATATATTCATACCAGGATCATCCTGTCTGGGTGTCCAATGGACTACCCTAGATACTAGTTACAGGTCTTCAGACAGGGCACCCATTGGAAGTGCTAGGTAGGATTTCATAATATGAAACACCCAATGTTTGATTTTGTTTGGGACACAATTGAGACATAGGGAAGGAAAAACGACAGTTGACACATGCCAGTTTCTTGGTGTTGATTCAGTGTAGAACGCCAGCTTTCGCCGTTTCTTTTTCACACCGGTGCTGATGATGCGATCGGTTGAGCTGAGGGGTGTGGGTGTCAGGTCCACAGCTGCGGTGAGCAATGGTCGGTCATGGAGGTCATGCTTGGGACGGTCATGCTCACTTGAGCTAGAACCCAAAAAAACCCCATCCATTGATGGGGTAGTGGGGCTTCCGATGTTCAACCAGGTTTTTGGCCTTGGCCACTTGTTACAGTGACAGGTGGTAATTGCTTACGTTGGCTCACTCTGGAGAGTCCTTGTTTTGCAGAAGCCCTTCACTCCCCTGCCCAAGGGCCCTCTTGTCCAGGTCCCTTGGGCCGATGGAAATTTTAGTTCTTTGTATTTGGTTGTTTACTATTTCTTGACCTTTTTTTTTAATTCTATTTTTTTCAGTTTTCGGTCTTTTTCTTGAATTCTTCTCGGTCCAGGCCGCAGAACTGCAGCTGGAGCCGCTGCTGGAGAGCGTCGCTGCCCATCATCGACGCGCATGCGATGACGCCGCTCGGCTCGACCAACGAATCGACCAGGCCGAATCCCCTGCGAAATCCGATTAGCTGGGAAGATTTTCCACGCCCTCGGTGGACCTCTCGTTTTTTCTTCAGAAGGTCAGTAACCTCGGTTGGTACAGCTGTTGGTTTTTTCCTTCGGACCCTTGGCTTGGCTTGGCCCCCCTGGAGGTGGTGGAACTTCGGGGTACACGTCGCCCCTTTCGGAAAGCCGCAGACCGAGTTCCGGACTGGACGAACGTGCCACCCCCCTCGGTCAGGCTCCGTGGGGCCGCGTGGCCCCAAGTGCCCCCGACGGAGAAGCTGCCCGCCCCGGAGATCGTGAAGCGACTCTCGGGGCAGGTGACTCGGGTGGTGTGTGTTTCTGCATGGGATCGGTGGGTGGGAGGTGGGTTGGTGTTTGAAGACATGGAATTACTTTGTTTTGGGAAGGGTGGTTCTTTGGAAGTGTGCAAAGACCAGAATCATCAGAGTCTAGAAGTGGTTGAATGTCGTTTGAGATTGCGCGTGGCGTGGAATATGACTTTTTTCGACGGAAGCAGGGTGAATTCATATGCAAAGTGCTGCTACATCTGTGTGCGTTCCAAAACAAAAGTAAGCGAAGGTGGGATCCAATGCGTTCAAAACCCGCAAGTCGCCATTGTCGTGCTGTACTGCGTTCTGGGTTGGTTTATGGTGGTGAGCAACCGATGAACTGCCAAAAACCCCCGCGACACCAGACCTATTGTTGTCCAATTCCAGAAAGTGCAGTACTCCTTTTTTGAGTGTTCCAGTTGCTTTCACGTCCCAGATCGGAAGGACTCGCGTCCCAGATCGATACCTGTGACTCACTTCATTTTTCATGTCCCTTTCCACCAATCACCTTGAATTGCATTCAGCCTCGACGATTTGGTGGGTCATGGTCGGGCCATTTGAAGAGTGTTTCGTTCGTTTGATTGTGGGTGAGAGGATCATAGACATTCATAGACTATTGCAGCGAATGCGGGTTCTTACTTCAGTTCTTCTTGAATCTTCTTTGGTGGGTTTCCATGCCTCTCCTTTTTCGAAGAGGGCAAGACACATAACGGTCAGACCGACTGGACCGCGGGTGACCGCTTGGTCAAACACCAGACCGACGGATCCGTGAAGGGAGACGTGCTTTGCTGCTCAAACCGTTTCGAAAACCCTGCAGGAGACCTACAGACAAGGTGACTGGAATTACGCAGATTTTTCCATGAGCAGGCGGGAGGTGTCGGCCTGTCGCGTTGTTTGGATGTAGGAAAGGAGAGCAAGCGCGGCGGTCAGTTTGAAGAAGGGAGAGGGCAGGATATGTCCTGTCGCCTTCTTGTCAACAGCACATCGGCTACTAGTCCCTACTACAGCACCTCCAACATGTCTCCTCAAGTCCTTAAGAAAGGTCTGAACTCGTGAGGGCTTCCAACCTAGAAACGGTGGTTTAACCTCACCCATGATCTTGGCCTGCCTCTAAAATCATCTTTCCCATGGAGCTCCCAACCGTTTTTGTGGGGTGGCTCAAATCAACATGCCCCGGTGCGTTTCGCCCACGTCGCGCCAGGGATGCCAAGCGCGCCACCAGGTGCATATAGCTGACAGCGTGCGTGTGCCGACGCTGACGTGATAGTGCTTTGCATTGTTAAAATGATGGTTGATATGGTTTTGTAATGTAAAATCCGTAAAAACAATGGTTGTTCGGTTCAGGCGGCTATTAAATGGTGATGCGACTTCTAGGGTCTTAATCTTCAGCGGATTTCAGTGGCGATTTGGAATTTGCTGGTCCACTTACGTGGACCACGCGATCTGTGAGGGACATCTTCATACATTGGTGATTCGTGAGTCGAGCCCTGGCAACAACAAAGCCAGACTACTCTGTTCTTTTGGGGCATTTTGCCTGTACCCCCAGGCCAGGCTAGGATGCCCCCCAGGTTCTAACTTGCATGGCTGGCACAGCGAGAATTCTCGGGGTAGCTCGCGTTTTGCCAAGGGCTCCGGAGCCTTTGATCTTCACAAAGTGCTTTGGGCTGAAGAAATTCTGGAGCAAATCGCCTGACATTTGTGAGGCTTCCATTCTTTGTTTTGCCCCATGCCACCCATGCCACCCATTTGTGGAAGGAGACCCCTTCCGGATGGGTCGACTTTCTCTTGGAGTCTGTCGGACCCCACCGACCTGGTGTCTGAAAAACACACCGGAAGAACCTCCGAAGCAGAACACCAAAGCCTTGGGACCTCGGCCCTGAGACTTCAGTGGTTTCAAGCCCAGAGACTTCTCAGACCTGTCAAGACGGAGCATGGCGGATCGAAGTGTTCTCTCAAACGCACCGTCTTTTGCCACCTAGGACCTTCTCTGTTTGGCACCTAGGACCGTACGGCTTCCCTGTGGCATGTCCCGTACATACTGACCATACCATTTTTCAAAGAGTACATATCGAAAATCTCGAGTGTGTGAACATCAAATTTCCAATGACACATCACCTTCTAGTGGTTCCGAAATAGATAGACAAAGTCGATCCCCCAGGTAGAACATGTCTGAGGACGCCGTGCCCGACTCGAGCATCATCGAACCTCGCCCGCCTTCTTCGAGCAAGCTCGACGCTGTCAGGCAGTTTGCCGACCGACAACGGCTGAGGTGCGGCAGTGACCGGCTACTGAGTAGGCCGAACTCGGAATGAAGGTTTGGTGGAAAGCACCGAATATCGCGCGAGGGGTTGGTATATGTTGGTATTGGTATACTGGCGGAGAGGAGATTTCTGAACTGGCGGTGCATGTGGTCATTTGCACAGTTTTTACCTATTGCAGAGGTGCATTTAGAGTCAACCGCACGTGTGGGGGGGTAGAGTTTCAAAGCTAGGTCGATCCTCAAACCATGGCAGAACGTCAGTAGGGTGGGTCGGCTCTGTTGATCTTTGGGTCATTTTTGAGATGGATACCTTGACTTATCCAGGTAAATAAGTCAAGTAGGGCGGGTCAGAAGTTGAATACCTTGACTTATTGACCTGGAGGGTGGTTCGCTGCTGCGCGTCCGCGTTCGCCTCCCAGGGTCTCGGTGGGCGCGGGAGATCCTCCCGTGAGAGCGACACCTGGCGGAGTCGGTAAATGACCAAAGTCTTGAGATGGGCAGAGTGAAAGGCAGTGAAGTCAGTGAATTCTATCGTACCATTTTTTGGGGTTCCAACCTGAAAGTCATGGCCTCCAACCTAGAAGCGATGGCCTCCTAATTTGATCACTCGGTGACACCGAGCCGGAGAGATTTCCGTGTTCCGCCGCACTTCCCGGAAAAAACACAAATCGCTCCAAGCTCGAAACCCGCTCCTCCGCGGCGGGACGCCCGCTCCGAGGGAGCACCCGTCGGTTTCCTGCCAGGGCGCAGGTCGTGAACTGGGAGAGTCACGCTCCCTGGTGCGGAGCTGAGACCGAACGGACGGGTGGAGCGTGCCGTGAGCGTGCCGTGAGCGCCGGTGGCGGCGAGGGGGAAGACGCACCGGAGGGTGCGGCACCAAGGAATGTCGACGCGAGCCTTGACGATGCCAGGAATGGCCCAAGTTTCATGTGCCATCGGCATTGGCCGAAAAGGCTTCAAGAGGCCTCTTCACATCTCTCAATTAAAGCTGTTGGTTTTCTCCCGTTGTGAAGTGCTGATCGCAACAACTTCAAGGCTCCGCTTGAGCTACCAACTTCCGCTACACTAACGACACACGAAGCTACCATGAAGCCAGCCTGCTGTCCATGGGTCGCGTCCTACCATTGATACAATATATATCCAAGCAAATCTCAGCATACGCAGAACACTATGAACGTTTTGTGAATTATTGGGATGTCATATCCCTGAAAAAAGTCTTCACCCATGGAAATGATGTAGGGATGTAGGTCTAGTCTTTGAGGATGAAAAAGACCACCTATAGGGAGCCCCTGCTCGGGACATCTCACGAGCAAGACATCCTCGGGAGTCTCGTCCCGGGACAGTCACCTCGGTGACGATCGTCACACGTAGCCGAAAGGGTCCACCATCTCTCACCACCCTGGCTCTCGAGCCGTTCGCGTAAGCACCGCCCGTTCGTCTCGCGCCGTGGCGGGCTCCAGTTCGTGCCTTAGAAGGTCTGACGGGAGCCGACACTGGCACCCGGGCCCCCAGTCCCACCGAACCGAAACGAAGGTACGACTGGAGCCCCGAACGGGATAGACGATGGGTGAGTAGATCACCCGACAGAAGCCATTCTATTCCATTCTGAGGCTTGGCCTGTGCTTCCTCGTGGCTTTGCCCTTCCTGCTCACCTGCTGGGCGAACCGTGCCACGTCCGAGATAGGGAGTCTGCTGGGTCGAGTCGATGGCGTGTGGAGGTCGGCGTCAGAGGTGTAAGCTTAGCGAAGCGTAGCCGAGGAGTGCTGCGAAGCGTTTAGAGAATGAATCGCGGAACGTGTTCCTATATACTGGTAGTTTTTGCTTCGACACCTGCAAGCTGGTAGTTTGGCTGATTTCTAGAGTTCGGACGCTGAAGGATCTCTCAGGGAGATGTTTTTTTTGTTCTTCAATCTTCTTGAGTGTTGGTACCGTTGACTTGAAACTTGAAAGATGACAAGCGTATTGCAAAACCATGTGCCATCCCCTTGCCCCTGTTGACCTCCCCCTTTGCTTGGCTAGGAGGCTCCAAATTGGCACCGACAGCACGGACGTAGGATGTCTGATGGTGTTCGAGGATGTCACTCAGTCCGTGCGAGGATTTGATGAGTTCACTGGAAAGCGGAACTGTGTTCAGGTCATGTCGTCGACAGTCATGTTGACATTTGAGGTGAGCCAGTGCAGGTGGTGAGACCTCCTGAGGCGGAGGCCGACGAGAGCTGCCAATGTCGGCTTGAACAACCCGAAGGGCTTGGCCTTGGAGAGTGGGGGAGCGCATGTGCATGGGTCATGGAATATGGACGAATAGGTGCATATGACGGAACATTTGGATGCAAGGCTAAGGTAGGGAAGTGCCTTTGGATCAACAGATGGTGAGGAGGTCCCACCCGTGTGGGCAGACCTCCAGCATAGCCGCAGAGCAGAGCACAAAAGGAGGTCCCACTTGTGTGGGAAGGGGGATGAAACAGTAGCTTCTTGTTCCTAGTACGGTAGAGTCCTTGCTCCTAGTAGTACGGCCAGGAGCCCCTAGTAGCAAACATAGTTCCTAGTAGCTACTTGCCCCGAACCGCTTTGATCGGGAAACACATCTGAACCGATGAAACTGATCTTGAACCGTGCTCCAGGCTGAGATCATGTTGGAAGGCTGACGGGCTGTGATTTGGCCGAGGGTCTTCGGGGTGTTGGCAGGTGCAGTTTTCTTTTTCTTTTTTAAGTCAACCTGCAGCTGAACCGCAGGAGGAGAAGGCTTGGTGGTTTTGGTTTCCCCTGACTTGTGAGGATTCAAGAGGCGTTGTGGAGAGTGGACACCACTCCACGTCGTAGAGGTGTTGAGAGCTTTCCTAAGATGTCCGGATTTTTCAGAACACAAAGTGGAAAATACATTGTTACATGGCGGCCTTTCATTCTGCACAAGACTTCAAATCGTTCATTGGTTCATTGGATGTGGCAACACCATGTACAACTCCCAACTTAAACATACACCATTAGAGTGACTCTTTTTCGGACTGTTGAAGCATGTCATGGTCCACCATGCTGTTGCGCCCATGTTGTTGCGCCCCGCTCGCTCCCGACCCACGTGGCCGTGGCAGAATTCCGAGCAGAACACCTGCCAGGCAGTGGGAAGAGCGTGAAGTCTTTGTGGTTGGGAAAAAATGGAGCACTTCTTTTCAGTCAAGATTCTTGGAAACAACTGGGCAACGATGAGGTGTTCATTTCCAATGTGTATTTTTCAGCACCGCTCATGGGAGTAATAATATAATATAACATATATAATGTAGTATAGTATAGTATAGTACAAAACACTATACTACCATGCAATATAATTTATGATATGACATGATAAAACATGTAATATGCTGAAGGATGTGAGGAGAGATGGTCCCACCGACAGGTGAACTACCTCTTCTTCCCGAGCTGGTCCGGATGCCAGTCCGAACTCGCAACCGGCCGTGAGCGAACGGCCGCCAGGCGACCGGAGGACGGTGCTGCTCTGAGGGGCCGGAGGTGGCCCGGGAGCGATGGCCGAGGTGGTTCAACTCGACGGTCAACCGGATGGTATTTGGATGGCAACCTACGGATGGGCATTGATGAATTTCCTTTTTGTCGGGGTGTGCAGGTGTGTTTGGGACCTGACGTGATGATTCCCTAGATTGAGTGGACTGAATGATAGCTTGCTCTAGAGACTTAAGGTACTCCATGAATCTTTCACGTGAAGTGCCTTCAAATCTTCAACAATTGTGACGACTATGATTGCATAGGAGCGTTGCATTCATGCCGTCATGCTCCAAACCCTCGCGAATGATAGGGGACTCACATAAAAACGACACCCTTTGACACGGTTCCAAGATATGCGAAAACGATAGGGAAGTCACAAATCTCAGGATGCAACAGCCGCACATCTTCTTGTTCCTAGTAGTAAGACCAGGAGCCCCTAGTTGCTCCTAGTAGCTTCTTGTTCCTCATTTTCACCGTACCTCAGGTGCTTTCGGCCCCTAAATCGATGTGCGGCTGTCCGGGCCGCAAAACGAACGCACCGATGTCTCCGTCCCGACTTGATGCCGTGGTTCATCACCCGCAAGGCCGCCTGCTGAGTGATTCCGTGCAACGGACTCTGTGCATCGAAAAGAGCTATCTCGATGCAAAGACCGGGGAGAAAAGACTTCGAGGGTCGCAGCTTCGCACCGCTTCGCCCTGTTTCCTTCGCGGACCGACCTTTCGATCCCTGTCAGACAAGCTGCCACGACATGCCCTGTCAGAGCTCCTTCCGACCTGGGCTTTATTATACTGTATTCTTCCGATGATGTCCCAGAAAAAACACATATGTAAATACCTTTTGTGTGATGATCTAGACCATCCATTCAAAACTAAGGTTTGCTAGGGAAAAGGGTCGACGTGTCGACGGGTCGATGCCAACTGTCCAACAACCGGAACCACATCCAAATCCAAAGTGGTTTTTCAATACCATATGCACCAGGGCCAAGCATACAACAGATCATGCCCAAGCAGACAACACATCATTACCCCATTTCTTCTCCATGTTGGTGTTCTTTTCCCTGTTTGAACATTGCACAGAGACTGGTGAAAGCACCTTGGCGAACGGCTTGCCTATGAGAGCAACGCCGCAATTCGAATACCTGAATCCGGTTGCCTTTCAGGGTCATCGGGCGAGGCGTGATCGGCGTGGAAGAAACCAAGCGATTCTTACATATACTTCGAGGTATGTCCTTCACATACTGTTGGGCTCAGTTCTTATCAAGGAACCTATGATCTGTACTGCTTGGGAGGTTTCGGAGTGGGTCATCCCAATCATGTCCGCTTCTTTTTTTTGTTTATTTCGAGGACAATCAGAGGAATTCACGCCTCTGTGGTCCCAACAGAGAGTGAACGCGATGATGTTTTGAGCAGATACACAAGGTAACTATATAAAACAAGAAGACCAAGAGCGATAGGCACACAAATTCCTGGCCGCGATTTTTTTTTTTCGGAATATTGAGATCCCGGTCAATTTTGGATCTATGAAGCACAAACACATGTTCCTATCACCCGGTCATAGGATGCAATAATTGAGAATTAATATGTTACACTACAGACTTCAGTCAGTGTTACTCAACACGTTCTTTTTGGCATTAGGAGGTATATTATTCATGACTCGAAGCTGAGCTGTTACAACACACCACTGCAGCTTGGCCAGCTGAGCCGCAGCTTTTTGCTGCTCAGCTACGGGTTATGTTTTGTGACAACTTCTTTGAAGCTTCAACCTTCCAAGGCATATGCATGCTTGGCAGATCTTGGCAGTACGGGCCTTGCTTCGCTTTTGGACACCGCTGTCTTTTTTTGTGTCCACTGTGCTGGTAAGTGACGGCAAAAAAGAAGTCTTCCTGAAGCAATTACTATGCTGAAAAAAGACCAGGGTGTTTGTGTAATCTGATCACAATTGATCTGCTTTTGTCAGAACCCAAGTTCCAGTATGAAGATCAGTCATCTTCTTGACATTCCCTAGCTTCATCTATCTTCTACTCTACTCTACTCTACTCTTCTACTCTCTTCTCTCTTTTCGCCGAAAACGCCGCCGCCTTGGTCCTGGAACGCGCTTGGACCGCACGCTTAGCCGTCCACGGGCCGAAGAGCGCGGGAAGAAATCCCCCTTGGCGACCCTCTGGCCGCCGGTGCTGAAGAAGCTACGGGCCGTGAAAAGCACATGGAACGACAGGCCGTGAGGTCTGCTGGTTTGGTGGGAAGAGCCAGCCAGCACCTGAGCCAGCAGAGTCTTTCCGAGGAAAGTTAGCCACTTTCAAAGCAGAGTGTTGTGGGTTGTTGAGGGGGACTTCAAAGAAGTTTTGGGCATTCAACGGATCTTCTGGGCAGACGTGGATGTATGAAGGACACGGATCGTGCACCACTTTTGTTTGGCCTTCTGCCCACCAAATCTTGATTGCCATTCAAAATGCCAAACACTAGTTACAATGGCAGTTTCTTGTTTCAGTGACAAGGATGCAGAAAGAACACAAAAAGGAGTTTGCCACTGGACCAGGAACCTTTGGATATTTTTTCAAAACAAACCGTTTGTGGGACGGTGTTCTCGCTTTGCAGAACTCCTTTCTGGCTTTGGCCCCTTGCTCGAGCGCCGGCGTGGTCATCCCGGAGCACGGTCCAGTGGGCTGCTCCCGCGCGCGCGGTCAGCGGGCGGAAAAGGAGAAGGATCGAGTTCCACCTGGGTGGGCGGGGTTTGTTCAAAGAGCCTGCAAAGACCACCAGTTTGGCCTTTGGGGGTTTTGGGGAGTCATTTCATGGATTTGGAGTCAGCGGGAAGGGGAGTCCACATGGATGTTCGATCAAATAGTCTTTCCCAAGACATCTCACAGGTGGCGTTGGTTCGCAGCAGAACAACGGTGATGATCTGCGATGGGCGTGTTGGAGTGTGCTTCGGCTCGCCCAGCAGGCTCCCAATCAAAGAGGCTATGCCCTCCAAAGATATGCTTCTCCCAGCAAAGCCTCAACCTCCGATGGTGCTGGGTCGCATGTGGTCGGAAGGGGAACCCGAGCTATTGTGGGCCACTCTGCAACTGCAGTCTGGGAGGCCAATGCTCATCAGCCGGGCATCCGCTTGATGAGCCATGAGGCAGGCCGCTTGCCTTTTTCCAGGAGATGGGTCGAAAGGATGCAAACGGAATTCCGAAAGACTTCGGGCGGGGACTTTCTACTTTTTGGGGGGCAGTCAGAATGCAGGAATTGGGGACCCATTCGACTGCCCCTTTTGGGCAAATCAGAAGACAACAAGGTTAGATTGGCTTCAGAGTCGAGTCCTTGTGATCAGTGGACTGCTCAGCAACGCTGTGTTGGGAATGGACTAGTCCTTAACTCTGGCAGCTGGGTCGGTAGGCTTTGCTGGGTTTGGCCACTGGAGAGTTTCCCCAAGACTTCCAGCCGGAGGTGGAAAAGCAGCTGCGCATGGTCCCCGGGAGCCTCTTTGGTCTCACCGTTCGGGGCACTCAGAACGATGGCCTCGAATCCGCGGGCCTTGGAGATGGTGTTTCTGGCCACCACCTTCATTTCACGCCGCCTTTGCGCCTGCGCGACATGAGGTTTTCGTCGCTTTTTACTCCACGAAATCGGTGTTTTCGTGGTTAAATACGCTTTGAGGTTATGGGGGTGAGGTCGGGAACCTTGCCAAGATATATAATGATATATATATATATTATATATTATATATTTGTGTGTACAACTCCAGCATACATGGTTCAACCGTTCAACCATCTAGTACTATGCCGGAGTTGCTGGCCCCAGCCACCCACGGCATGGCAGTTCTCTGTATCTGAAGGTTTGTCGCATGGTCTTAAAAGCTTAGATTGTGTCCCATTCCGATGGTCTGCGAGACATCATCCACCCCTGATATTTCATCCCGTTTGAGATTCCTTTGAGATCCTTTCTCTTCTCTGGATGCTTTGCGCCTGACTTTGGCGTGCACACGTCTTGCATTGAATCAGGCCACCTGTTCTTGACGTGATTACACTACTCGTAGGTTAGAACAGATCATGAAACAAAGAAATTTTGTCCACCTGCACACGTCCCCGCCACCACAGAAAGGCAGAGTCTGTTTCTGCCTTTGGGCCGGAAGGGATTCCTCGCCTCATCTTTCCTAAACACGCAGTGGTCTACACGAAGAATGGACGATGTATTTCTTTTGGTTTGCTGGCAGTCCACGGTTTTCATTCCTAGGCCGAATGAAGTGACACCCAGATGTTCAGAAGGGACTGAAGCACTAGTTAGTTTATAGGGAAGAAACTCAAGTTTCTCCTTCCACAGGTTTGTTTCAAGCCGAGAAACAAACTTTTTCCGCAGGAGTAAAAAGTTAGTTTCCAGCTGCAAAAACAATCATTTTCGAAGCCAAGGTAAAGCCGAATAATTCAAAAGACAGACAGCAGACAGAAAACTAAAGTTTTTATGGCGACAAACAAATGTTATTATCTAGAGTTTCTCTTGAAACGAAGGATTGGACGAAACCTTTGTTTCAACCCTCAAACTCTGAACTAAACTTTGCCAGCATGGTTCTAAACTCGAAAAAAACAAACCCCGAGCTTCGGAGAACCTTTGTTTTTTTCGAATAAACCGTCAGTGGACAAACTCATGAAAAGTAAGTTTGTTTCCGAGTTAGAAACAAAAGTTTCTGAAAACAGTGGAAACTAAAGTTTGTTTCCAGGTGAGAAAACTTGAGTTTTTCAAACTAGTGGAAACTAAAGTTTCTACGCACGAAAACCATTGTTTTCTGCTTGCCAGGTGAAACTTTAGTTTTCTTCCTGAAAAACAAACATTCGAAACTAGAGTTTTTGGATCTCGAAACAAACGCTCCCGAAACCTTTGTTTTTGGACTACCGAAACAAACTTTTTGTTCTGAAAACCTTTGTTTTTTACTCCCGAAACAAACATTTCCCTTCACCTCCTATTACTATTTCTATTACGGAGGCTCATGAAACTTTTGTTTTTCACTCCCAAAACAAACGTTTCGTTGCAGAGTTAGTTTGTTTCTGGGGGGGGGGGCGGGGGAGGGCTCGAGTTGGACACAAGAGAAACAGACCAGATGGACATGATTGCATTTCGAGTGCGCAAGGTTCCCCAGACCATGCTTTTCAGACCCTCGAGATCTTCAATGTGCCTCTATCCGAGCCATTGCCAGTCCCTCGAAAGATGCACATGAGTGCATTTCGAGTGCGCATGCTTGCAGAATCTGTTGTTCCCAAGACGATGCTTTTCAGACCCTCGAGATCTTCAATGTGCCTTTATCCGAGCCATTGCCAGTCCCTCGAAAGGCACACATGAGTGCATTTCGAGTGCGCATGCTTGCAGACTCTGTATCGCCCGAGGTGCGGATTCAGGGTAGAAAGTGCGCAGCCCCCCCCCACAGCAACTTAGAAGGAATCTTTCCAGCAAGGTCCCAAAATGAGGCCGTGGAGCTTTCCCATACCTTGCGCGCTCTACAACTTGCGGGAGGTGGCACCCGTACAGCCGCATTCGTGGCATGCAGAGTGCGTCCAAAGTGCAGAGTGCGTCCCACCGAAAATGTTCCGGAAATCCTTCTGTCCAGGTGCGCGCTGCAGACATTGACGGAGGTGGGGCCTTAAAATCTGATTTCGT